AAGAGACAAACTATATAAAAGTAAACAGAAAAAAATGTTAAATTAAAAGCAGATATTGTATACTTTATCCCTTCCAACCCCTTGAATTTGAAAGGGATTAATAAAGATGATTAATTACATAATTATATTCAAATGAAGATGTACAGTACTGTATGTTTAGATTCCCGACATGCATACTTAAAAATAAAGGTTTCTGTCAAGCTTATACTCGCTATAATATACGAACAATATCTGTAAAGTTAGTACTATATTAATATTCAATTAAATCAATTATTTAGAAATTAATTAACTTACAATCGCTCCTTAAACCACTTCTCGAATGACTGATAACGAAATTTGCATTATGGTTTTTAACGTTTATTATCGATAGCTAAACCATATTTACATTTATCAGTTTCGATTTTAGTTACTCAACTTTTATCAATTAAGAAACTTAATCATTGGATAATAAAGTTTTAAATGATATTCTTATTAAATATGACTTCATTTTAAATAATTTTAACGAAACTACAAAAAAAAAACTTACCGCGCCAGGATATGAAAATTAGCCGTCTTTTACCGTGTGAAAGAGTTATTTTTAGCTATGACGTGTCAAAGTCTAATTGTTTATCATTATTTATAGCGTTATCTTCTTCTGCAATACTAATTTTATCATCTGTTACTATTGTTTACAGTTTCGGAAACGTCGATTTTTGATTTATAAAGATAATTTGAGTGTCTCCCTGAAGTTATTTTGTACACAAGAATGCCATGTATTCTGGTGTTCTGTAGCGTAATTTGGGAAGGTCAACCTAGGCCCTCAGCTTTTGTGAGTGAATGTAGGTTTGTTCATTTAAAATTCGGGCCTCTTATATTAGTTCTAGTTACGTTTTTCTAATAGAAAAGGTTTGATTTCAATTTTAAACTAAAACAAAACCAAAACCAAACCTTTTCTATTTTTTTTTTTAATTTACTTCTGGACTTATAAATAGTTAAGTTGCTGAAGTCATTGACACAGAATTGGTAATCGGGGAATACGTACTGCTTCAGTAAAAAGTGATAAGATCAGATGAATCAATACATCTTTGTTTAATAGTAGGCCTGTATAGATCACTTGATTCACTTTATATTTCTGTAATAATAACATTGAATCCCTGTACTATAGAACGTCCTTGATACATAATTGTATTTCATATAATACCGTGTAATATAATACAGTAACAGTAGAATAGTATCTATTATTCATGCTGTAATACAATATCTTCAGTTTAATAAAGTTCAGTTCTATAAATCAAATTCCATAAGATAATAAGAAATATAAACACTTATACAGCTAAATATCTTATAAATTAACGTATAGTATGGCCCAAAAGCTAGTTAACTGAAGACTAAACTGATAACACACCGCATGTGGTACTCGCAAATGCAGGCGTATCCGAAACATAACACGGTTAACTGACTTTCGGTCCACCCTAGTATTAAATTAATCGTTAATTTTGATGTTAAATTATTTAAAATAAACGCATTAAGGTGTATTTTTTTTTAAATAAGAATTGTTTCTTTCCACAAATTACACGAGATTATTGAATAATTTGAATATCTACGAGCGTTCTGAATGTCGAGTAGGCACGCAAGTTAACTAGAGATTTGCCCGAATCGATTATTGATTCGTCTGTACTGTGTGTTTGTTCGTGAGCTATAGAAGAAATATATTTAAATTTCGCATAAATTTATAATGAAAAGAATCATTGACCGATTGGATTCTAATGAGACGGTAGCTCTACGTCTACACAATACAAACTGCGCTTATTCCTTCGATTGAGAGGAGTGGGTTCGGTTCCTTCGTAGATTAACAAACTCATTACGTCCCGCAGTATATTATTTAGAGAGAATTTATATAATCTTAACATTAATCTTACATTTTAAATCAATTGTAATCTGTCAGATGCACATATTGTGTGGCAATGTAGTCACACTTCTGCATTGTATAGCAAGTCGTCGGTTCGTTTCCATTAGACTAAACCATATCCATGTAATTATAATTGTAAACAAGAATATAATGATGTTATTACAGTAATAATTACTATAATTAACGGCTATAATAGTGTATAAAACATAATTAATGGATATAATCCATAAAAATTCGTTAATTTTATTCAAATGCCAGTAAAAATTGTTCATTTTACCAGCTTCAAAGCACGCTTTCCTTTCCAAAAATTGCGTAGTAATTAATGAAAACGTAATCAAAAAAGAAAAAAAATCGAAAAATATGTTAAATTCCAGCGTAAAGATAAGAAAAAATGTGATGACCAAGTCAATTTTCTCGCCACATCAGCGTGATTTGATAACGCGGAGGCGAGAAAATTGTCATAATTTCCCTCATCATCCCACCTTGTTTACAAGAAGACTTTTAAAATACACGATTTTATGCTTAATAAATGGCAAATTGTTAATGAAAAATTATAAAATGAGTTACTAAATTGATTTTCCTGCAAACTCCAGGTATAAATCAATCGCAAAGTACGAATCAATTAAGATTTTCTACCCCTTCCAACAGTCAAGTACACACGGCATTTTCTAAAAGAAGTATGCAGTAAAATTAATTTTAGTAAAGAATATTTTAGGGAAAGAGCGAACGTTAAGTTTAATTCAATAAAATAAGCATTAAAAAAAGGAAAAAAGAAGAAAATTTTTCAAAGAAAATGAAACGTTATCGCGATTTACAAAATGAAACTACACTTCCAAGAAGAACACATCAACTGCTGGTAAAAATCGATTGTCTTCACTAGTGGGCGTGTGATAAATGACGCGAGCAGGCATCCACCCACGAACCATTCATGAGTGAAATTTACCAAAGTAATTATTAAAAAGATCAATTCTTATTGTTAGCAACTCCATTCTCTTATCCGTCGATGGAGTTTTCTACGTTCTCTTCTGTTCTTTTATAAATGAAGTATTTTCAGTTTACGTTCTCACTGAAATAGTTTATAGAGGAAGACAAAAAATAAATTAACAAAGCAACAAAGATGTAAACTTTCCGTTAAGTACAGTGAATATATTTCAGCTCAGGTGCATAAAAATAAACAAAAACTCAATTTGAGGAGCATAAAAATAAGTAAAACTTTCAGTTCGAGGCGTTTAGAAATAAATAAATAATTTTTTTCTGAACAAACCAAAAGTAAATTTTCAAAAATATATGATAATAAAATGAAATATCTAAAAAAAAATTCAGAAAACAAAAGTATATTAAATGTAATTTATAACTGTATATCTTGGAGCAGCTGCCATTAGCAACTGTAATTAGCATTAAAGTATGAAACATTAAAAATATTTAAAGTAATAACAATAAAATTTAAGTTAATACAACTGAAAGTACTACTGCATAAATTTGCGTTAGAAGATTAGAATAAATGAAAAATTTGAGAGAAAATTGGGAATAAGTATAGTTTAGTTTGAGGGAGTAAGGCAAGTCAACACGTAGAAAATCTACCATGGAGAAATGCATTCTGCGTGGATTTCCTATAGAAAACTGCACCAATTCAAGTGCTTAGACATGTGAAGAAAACTCCCTCCAGCCCGTTGTTCTCACTTACCCGCGACTAGTGTTTAGTGGTTTTATCCACTCGGCCACTAGAATGAATAAACTGAGAAGTCAAAAATAATGAGGCCAGGTGAATAAAACCACTAAACACTAGTCACGGGTTCGTGAGAACAACGGGCTGGTCGCGTGGAGTTTGCTGTGTTTTCTTCGCAAGTCTAACACGTAAGACACTCCCCATTAGCAGATCTCTCGTGTTGCGTTGCGTTTTCCATTAGACTAACAAATCAAAAATATCTTACACCGAAACCGGAGAGAAAATTTGAAAAAAAAAAAAAAAATGGAGTGAGTAAACCGGAATTTATTCAAATTTAACTTTTACCGGTAATTTGAAGAAAATGGAGTTCAAAAAAGTAGTAATTCTAAAAGAAAATGGTTGAAAAACAAAAAACACTCAAATGCTGAAAAATTGGCATGGATAAAGTGAAAATTCCGAAAAATTCAAATGAGAAAATTAGTAATTTTATTATAAAATTGGAATAAGCAAACTAGTAATAATAATTAAAAATGGACTGATAATATTTATAAATTCTCAAAAATTGGGATAAAACGCTGAAAATTTGGGATTAAAAGCGTTCAAAAATTCTGATAAAAATGTCTCAACATTTGGGATTAAAAGCGCTCAATAATTCTGATAAANATATATAAGAGAAATCTATTATTTTTTATTACAAGCCTTATACGTAACATTCTAACAAAAATATTAAAATGCAACATTGGCCGATTATCATAACCGATTAATCGGTGCATCGTTACTCTTGACACTGTGATCTAGTAGGTACCATATTATTGTACTTCTATATATTATAGAAACTAATTTGAGAACGTCAATATCATCATTGTCCATGATTAACCGAGGGGATAACACCACTAAATCCGGAGTATTTGGTCGTGGGTGTGTACCTGATAGAAGGGATAACCGTTAGAATTTTTCCGGATTTTCCTCACCTAAATAGGGGACAGTTTCTCATAAAGTCCTCCCGGGAAGCACTTTCCATTTGGCGGATGGCCTATATGTTTCTCACCTTTAAACCATCATTCCAATCCGTATCCCTTGAAACCAAACAATTTTAATGTGTGAAATATCATGATTTACAAATTAAATAAAGATTACTTATTTACGAAAAATTTATATTAAGACATTTAAGAACTTCTGTAACCTACTATAAATGAAGAAAACCAAGAAAACTGTATGGCCAACATGTTGGCAGGGCACGAACCCACGATCAATTGCCAGTATCTAATGGTTTTTTTTTATTCGGCCACTGTTGGACAGCCGGGTCAAGCCACCCGATTCTTGATGAAATGCTCTCGAAGGTTCGATATCTAGTCCCCCAAAGTGATAGACGGTCATCCACTTGTCATTACGTGACATTGTCATTAACGAGAAGATAATATCAATCTTATTATAAATTTATAGAGGTTACCATGTTAATAATACTTTTATTATATTCCACTGAATCATCAATTAAGATACATTCTTGTATATTTATCAAAAACTCGCAATTACAACGTTACAAGTATATAAACAAACAAAGTTTCAATTTTCATGCAAAATATTCAATTAACATTTCCCTTAACTTAAAAGGCAAAGTAACATGCTTCATACAAAAAAATCCCTTCAATTTTCTTCAGAATCTTCAATGTCGAAGTAAACAATTTCAAGAATTTCGTTAAAAGTCTTCAAAAGTTCTCTCTAAAACATCATGATTAGAGCATTTTTAATATGTTAAAACAAATTTATCATTTAATTAATAAAAACTTACATTATTATTGAAAATTTCTTCTGTTCTCTCATTAGGTAATCGGTTGTATAACCACGCAAAGATTTTTCTGTTGAATGATCTCCAGGGCAATGCATTCACTAAAGGATATGGATATCCACATGCTGTTATGACATACATCAAATTGTACATGCCCTTCTGCAATAACTCGCTTAAATGTATGATTCTAGAAGTGTATTTTATCTAGAAAAATGTATTTCTCAAATTACTTTAATTCTTACTTATAATACTGTAGTCAATAGTTATAGGCTACTTACACCGAATTCGTTTTTGTAAGTGGGATCAACTAAAGCTTGAGCAACGAATGCCTTCACTTCCCAATGCTGTAATTTCGTTCCTTGTTTCAATAGATAATGCAAAATGAAACACAAACTGAGAAGGGATAAACTCATGTTTTGTAGTTTCTCATAAGGCATATTTGTTCCTAAGCAGAATTGAAGTAAATCCCATCGAATTCTTCTCATTTCTTCATCCTCAGACATGAGATCTTCAAGGGATGGAATGTAATCTATAAAAATTCTTAGTTTTAATATAAAATAATTAAAAATTTTATTTAAATATTCAAAGAGTTTACCATCAAAAGCATCTTTGTGCACTCCCACTTCATCCGGTTCATCTAGATTCGCTCCTTTATAGCAACACCATTCTTTTATGGTTACACCTTCAGAGAAGAGAATTCGATACATCTTCTGTCGCATTTCTCTGTAAACAAGAGCACAGGATGGAAGCGAATCATCATCATAATCTTCAAAATTAGCTTTATCTACAAACATCCTATCCCTGAGGAGCGTGTAGAATCCTGGAGGAATTTCACAAGCATTCCATTTTTCTCGTAAAATATCGATATTAGTCCATAGTTGTACTTGATCATCAACATATTTTTCAGAATTTGATCCAATTTCATAAAAATTCATACCTTTTCTCAATTCTTTTTCGTTGATACCAACGAATTTCGCAATTTCACCAAATTGCAAATGATCTCCAGACCATTCTCTGTCTTTAATCACCTTCGCTACTTTATTTAACACATGCGAATCTCTCTCTCTTTCGTATACGTATCCTATTTTTTCATGAAAATCCTTCAGATCATTCAAAGGAATGGTATCATTTCCTACCAAACAGCAGAGCAACTTCATTTGCTGACGATCCAAATCAATTACTTTTGCAAAATCGTAATGCAAATACATTTCGGTCGACAATCTGTTAAATAAAAGTTTCTTCATGGAAAGTAAGGGTTTAGTATCAAAAATAATGTAGTCCACATTCATGGACAGAATCCCTAAGCAGTTTTTATTATTCTTAGCAACATCCGCTAACTCTGCATAATGATTATCAGTTGTGTTGTAAACTTCGGAATTGCATTCATACTTAATAACGTAGCGTAAGTAACTTTGGCCAGGAGGTACGAACTGCTCGCAAGAGTAATTCCTCGACATTCGAATATCTGAAAATTGGTTCTTCAAAGAATCGAATATTTTATGAATCCTTTGATTGTTTGCAATGATCCAATATTTCCAGTTTGCTTCCTCGAACTCTTTCTCTTGAAAATAAAAAATGGGCTTGATGTCTATATTAGTTAGGTATTCCACGAATTTCTTGAATTGTCGAATTACTGTATGCCATTCCCATCCGTAACGAGAATCAGGATTTAAGAACTTTACAAACTGTATACGTGAGCAATCAATGAGTAATATTGGCTTCTCTGAACTAGTTTTCTTGTGACGTTCTACTAAATCATTCAAGTCTATGTCATACCATAAATATCTGCTCTTTAGATATTTAAATCCTCCTGTAATTACCATTTCTTTCGAATTGAACTCCTAAGCAAATTGTTATGATCTGCAACAAAAGAAGGTTTGTATTAAATAACCAGCAATTATTTATTGTGACATGGTCACAATGCTGAGCTGCAATTTTCATAAAAACGGGGAGAAGATCGAATGTTAATGTTTACGGTAAACAACCAACTAAGGAATGCATGTTAGTAGGGGTCTTCGAAGCGACAAGTTCCTTCCCTCTCGCATCGATCTGAGAAAATTCGGAAATTATGTTAATTAAATAATTAATTGTTAACGCGTGAGAAAGTTGACATTTAACCAGGTCCACGAGGAGAATCTAAAAACAATTGGAAGAAATAAGAAACCCGCTAGTCGATTTTGTTTAATTCCCTTGTCAGATTCACCGTTGACGTGTCATCACTGCCAAGCAAACGGTCACCTGATCAGATTCCCACACTTGATGAGGATATAATGCCAGCGCACCCGTTCTTCAGCGCGATCGCCGGAAAAAGTAATCTTGTTTGTTCTATGCGTTATCCATCCCCGGCTCCTCACAATTCTCTCCACCTCAAAATGGCCAGCAGTGGGAATATCTCTACATTGTTTTCAAATTGTAGCCCAATAAAAATAATTAAAATTCGTGTACATCAAACTAGCGATATTTCACTAAAATTATCTGATTTGCTGGCGAGACATCAGTTACGGATTATCAGATGATTCTTAAATATACCCATCACAGAGCAGCCTAATCTAAATTAGTATGTGTAAGAATATTACAGGATGGCCGTAGTAGTTAAGGATTTAGGATTGATGGAACAAGGCATTAATTAAGTGAAGTACGTATTAGTTTTAGTAGCTTCACCACCGCCCAGATTGAAGTTTCCGAAACCAAAATATTCATCTTTTCAAATCTCTTAAACATAAGCAAATAATAAAAATGGCTACTAATTAAAGGCATGTGAATACAATGTATTTAAAAGTTCATTTTAAAAAAATATAAGAAACTAAAGTGAGAAATAATCCAAGAAACAAAAGAATAGCAATAAAATATTTCAGGTGAAAGACCCGGGGAGATATCCATAAGTTACGTAACACAGATACGCATGCTGTGTATGCAGATAATTGTTATGATGCGTTACAAGGAGATACGGGCGTTTACAAAAACGTTACGTGAAGTTAAGTCTCAACCTTTGGGTAACAATGACTCAGTTCTGCTTCCGAAATGTTATATAGCGAATCATATTGTTTATGTCTCCAGCCTTGTGGAATCGAAGTCGAAATTTTTGCTTATACAATACGCGGATTAACGCGCGTGTGGAGATACTCGGTTTTGATTCAGATAACAATTAAGAGACATTTCTTAAATAATAAAATAAAAGTAAATAAAATTAAATAAATGGAATGAATCGAGATATAATTAAACGAATGAAATAATAAGCGATTGATTAAAATATACGCTTCGAGAGAGAGCTCTCACAACTTCATGTATAAACATCTACCTCAATTTACTTTATCTTGATCTTCTTCTGTACTCTTGATGATCCTACTTCGTTGCATGGAGAGGTCTTGAATTGGCACAAAATTATACATTTTCTTCTATTCTCCTAAATTTACTCATTCTTACAGTTGACTGGAGGAGTCTAAGGGTTTTGTGGGACAAATATGGGTCGGTCTTCTCCGAGATCTGTTTCGTACTCGTAACTAAGGGTACTCGTTGGCTTTAGGGAGCGAATATGGGATACCTTCTTTCTCTATGAGATCTTCGGATGTACTCCACGAATCATGCAGATCTTTAACTATATCTGATGATTTGTGACCAATTAGCTTATTTGCCTTTACTCACGTGAATAGATGAAAAGGGGAATTATTGAGGGGTCGACAATTTCCAGTGTGGTGAGATTTGTGATAGATAAGTGGAAAAACAAAGGATGCTTCAACTTCCGTTAAAGGAAGTGGCTCTTTTATCAGTTTTCCCACGTTAGAAAACCGTTATTTTCACACCAAAAAGAAAGAATATTTTACTTTATAATTTTAATGTTATTTTTAAATTGTTACTTAGACCCAGGGCTATTCGGATCTCACAATGATGATAAACTAAGGTACATAAATGCCTTAGAAGGTATACGCAGGGATTTAAAAATGATGTTTGCGGCTTTTGCTAAGACTAAAATCTTTAATTAATTTTAAAGCGCAATAATCTAACGAATGAGCTACGTCATTTTCAATTGAAAGAATAGCAAGGGCTGAAAGCCGATCTTGTGTCATCGAATTCTTCAAATATGTTTTAATAATTTTTAACCTCGAAAAATTCCTTTACACGCAGGCAACTCACATGTGTGGTGGCAATAAATCTCAGGACTATACGTTTCTGGACACCACATTTTTTCTCCACGCATATTGGCTCCATTATCGTATCATTAGCCTCTGCAGTTTTGCAATGATATACCCAGCAGTTTTAGCTCTGTGATTATATAATTAGTCAAACTCTTAGCTATAGTTTTTTTTTCGATTGCTAAGAAGCCAATAAAATGTTCTTCATGTCAGCTGTATTTGTATTAAAAAATCTTATCATTATTGACAGTTATTCAACACGAAAAACGTCACGATTACAACAATCAAGAATAATCGAGTAATATTTATCCTTTATTATTTTGTCAACAATTTGAGTTTTCACGTGATTTCCATTAATTGTTTAAGCTCATTTCGAATATTTTTACCGAGATAGTGGTTATTAATCGTCTTGTGTTTTACTTGTTTTAGGTAAAGTCAGAACATTGGATCAAATCGGGCTATTAACCCGTTCTCTAAATTTAACCATTTCAACATACAATCTTTGTGCAGTCGACTAGATTTATGAGACTTTAGGTAATCAATCACACACTCCTATGTCATGGATGTAGACATAGATACTGTATAGATGTTGGCTGTATAGTGTTGACGGCGGCGACGGTGTAAGAGACAAAAGAGACAATAGCGAGGACTCATTATCCTCGCTATTGTCTCTTTATTACTAGGTGGCAGCGGCACCCATGACGATGTTGAAGGAATAATTTCAGCTGGGTTATACTACGTTCGCACACAATCCACGACACACTTCGATCTCGATTTACCTACAATCTGGATTGTGACTGTTGCTAGTCGAACGTCGTGCTGTTCGCACAGGCAGTCCGTTCGAGAAGAACCTGGCTATTACACGCGATCATAAAACTGACGTAACTACGCGGTAAGTAACAAACACCAACAAACAAAATGGAAGTTTTGGTTAGAAATAAATACTTTTTCTTGCCATACATCTAATAATAGACAGATGTCGTCTCTCCAGATGTCTTTTTTACTTCTCTGTCGATAGCCCGACACGTGTTCCGCAGCCATCTTGTATTTTCTCGCGCGTGTGGGATTGTGGGATCTCTGTTATGAATGGATCTAGTTTCGAGAACTCTGTCCAGTCGATCGCGATTGAACCTCGTTTCAGTCGAGATTGAAACGGTCGAGAGCGTTCGCACCACGGAACAGTCTCCGACCTTAGTCACAATCTACATCGAAATGCTCGGTGCGAACGTGGTACAAACTATTGTTCAACAACGTTTCCCCCTTCCTAATATAATGAATTAGTCTAAATTCTCGTTAGAACTCACCTCTGGCGCTTCTCCCACCCTCGAAATTAGGTGCAGGTGTTAATGAATTAGTCTAACAAAAAAAGGAAATTCATTTCCGTTTGTTCGAAATTGTCCGAAAAATGGAAAAAATGCAAAGTGCTGATCGTATTAATTAAAGTTATCACAACAGCAATTAGCGGCGAAGTTTAACTGTGGGAAAACGAAATGTATTTTACCGTAGACCTACAGTATTTTCCTCGGGGATATAAAATATTGTACACGATATAATTAATCGGCTGATCTCATCGTTTGATAAAATTTATTTTTATTTATTTATTTTGAAGCTCGTATACAGTACATGCGCGATAAATAGTTTCTGTACTAACCTATCTTATTTTTACGATATTTTTCGAAAAATAATATTCAACTAATGTTCGCAGGCAAAATATTCAAAAAACAATAAACGCATTAATACAAAAATCAGTTTTACAGGCAACCTTCCTTTTTCGATTCCGCAATGACAATTGCGGAATGTAATGAAATCGCACAACGAGACATAATAATAAAATCGTTTTAGTATTAATTAATAATTTTTCTTATTGTACTTAAGAAAATACTGTATTTTTAAATATTTTTAATATTTTTTTTATAGTTAAAATAAGATTAAACTCTACATCAAACGAAAGCCAAAACTTTGGCTTTCGTTTGATGTAGAGATACGACGCGCTTGTATATTGATGACGTAATACACGTAAATGAGGAGCGAACGAAAACAACTAAGTTGAATTAATTAAGTCGGAAAAAAGAAAGTGTGCATTATAATCGAGAAAATACGAGCTCAGCATTAATCTTTAAAATATTGGTATTAAATCTGTCTTATAAAATCACAACAAACTCCTATAAATCGAGTTATCCGACAAGAATAAAATACAATAACAATATAGCTCTATCGTTGAAAAAAAATGAGCTTATTTTTATTAACCTGGAGTTTTGCTTAGTAGAAATGGCTAAAAAGTGAGCAAAATTGTTACAGGACTAACGAAACTAACCAACCAAAACCAAAACCTTGGTTTTCGTTTGATGCAATGTTGCCACGTCTAGCGAATTTTCCGTAGATCTACCGATTGAAGCACCAAATCTACCGAAAAGTTTACGATAATTCAAGAAAGAAATTTTTATTTTCAATGTATCTAAAAATTCTCAATAAAACATTTCTTTGTACCATTTCTTATATATTGTAAGAGACTTTATTGCAAAGACTCTATCTCGTTTTGTTGAGAATATCTTGTGTCTGCCCCATTCTTCAGCTAATGTAGAAAGAATATTTTCGTAAATAAATCTGTTAAACACGAAACAAAGAAATAAACTGAGCTCTGAAACAATCATTGGCTTACTTCTTACTAAACAATCAATTGAAAAAAATATATTACTGTTACGATTTTCCTGTAAAAGATACATGAATTAATCAAATTTATTTTATTGTTATAACTAATAGCTAAGGATAAAATAAAAAGTTTTAAATATCAACTTTGTTCTATTCGGATTGTTGCGCGAAGCCCCGCGCGATTGCTCTGCTCGCCACCCCCCTAAGGCCGCCTCTGAATGTAACGTTCTCTATCCTGTGTCATGTATCAAATTCTAAGTACAATTTCGGTTGATCGAGGTGTTAATTAGGAGTGTATTTTTCTTAGTATGTGCGACAGTGTTACGTAGAGGTAAAATGATAATTGAACAGTAAAAACTAGTGTTACGTAATTTATGACGATCCCAAAGTTTAAGAGACAAACTATATAAAAGTAAACAGAAAAAAATGTTAAATTAAAAGCAGATATTGTATACTTTATCCCTTCCAACCCCTTGAATTTGAAAGGGATTAATAAAGATGATTAATTACATAATTATATTCAAATGAAGATGTACAGTACTGTATGTTTAGATTCCCGACATGCATACTTAAAAATAAAGGTTTCTGTCAAGCTTATACTCGCTATAATATACGAACAATATCTGTAAAGTTAGTACTATATTAATATTCAATTAAATCAATTATTTAGAAATTAATTAACTTACAATCGCTCCTTAAACCACTTCTCGAATGACTGATAACGAAATTTGCATTATGGTTTTTAACGTTTATTATCGATAGCTAAACCATATTTACATTTATCAGTTTCGATTTTAGTTACTCAACTTTTATCAATTAAGAAACTTAATCATTGGATAATAAAGTTTTAAATGATATTCTTATTAAATATGACTTCATTTTAAATAATTTTAACGAAACTACAAAAAAAAAACTTACCGCGCCAGGATATGAAAATTAGCCGTCTTTTACCGTGTGAAAGAGTTATTTTTAGCTATGACGTGTCAAAGTCTAATTGTTTATCATTATTTATAGCGTTATCTTCTTCTGCAATACTAATTTTATCATCTGTTACTATTGTTTACAGTTTCGGAAACGTCGATTTTTGATTTATAAAGATAATTTGAGTGTCTCCCTGAAGTTATTTTGTACACAAGAATGCCATGTATTCTGGTGTTCTGTAGCGTAATTTGGGAAGGTCAACCTAGGCCCTCAGCTTTTGTGAGTGAATGTAGGTTTGTTCATTTAAAATTCGGGCCTCTTATATTAGTTCTAGTTACGTTTTTCTAATAGAAAAGGTTTGATTTCAATTTTAAACTAAAACAAAACCAAAACCAAACCTTTTCTATTTTTTTTTTTAATTTACTTCTGGACTTATAAATAGTTAAGTTGCTGAAGTCATTGACACAGAATTGGTAATCGGGGAATACGTACTGCTTCAGTAAAAAGTGATAAGATCAGATGAATCAATACATCTTTGTTTAATAGTAGGCCTGTATAGATCACTTGATTCACTTTATATTTCTGTAATAATAACATTGAATCCCTGTACTATAGAACGTCCTTGATACATAATTGTATTTCATATAATACCGTGTAATATAATACAGTAACAGTAGAATAGTATCTATTATTCATGCTGTAATACAATATCTTCAGTTTAATAAAGTTCAGTTCTATAAATCAAATTCCATAAGATAATAAGAAATATAAACATTTATACAGCTAAATATCTTATAAATTAACGTATAGTATGGCCCAAAAGCTAGTTAACTGAAGACTAAACTGATAACACACCGCATGTGGTACTCGCAAATGCAGGCGTATCCGAAACATAACACGGTTAACTGACTTTCGGTCCACCCTAGTATTAAATTAATCGTTAATTTTGATGTTAAATTATTTAAAATAAACGCATTAAGGTGTATTTTTTTTTAAATAAGAATTGTTTCTTTCCACAAATTACACGAGATTACTGAATAATTTGAATATCTACGAGCGTTCTGAATATCGAGTAGGCACGCAAGTTAACTAGAGATTTGCCCGAATCGATTATTGATTCGTCTGTACTGTGTGTTTGTTCGTGAGCTATAGAAGAAATATATTTAAATTTCGCATAAATTTATAATGAAAAGAATCATTGACCGATTGGATTCTAATGAGACGGTAGCTCTACGTCTACACAATACAAACTGCGCTTATTCCTTCGATTGAGAGGAGTGGGTTCGGTTCCTTCGTAGATTAACAAACTCATTACGTCCCGCAGTATATTATTTAGAGAGAATTTATATAATCTTAACATTAATCTTACATTTTAAATCAATTGTAATCTGTCAGATGCACATATTGTGTGGCAATGTAGTCACACTTCTGCATTGTATAGCAAGTCGTCGGTTCGTTTCCATTAGACTAAACCATATCCATGTAATTATAATTGTAAACAAGAATATAATGATGTTATTACAGTAATAATTATTATAATTAACGGCTATAATAGTATATAAAACATAATTAATGGATATAATCCATAAAAATTCGTTAATTTTATTCAAATGCCAGTAAAAATTGTTCATTTTACCAGCTTCAAAGCACGCTTTCCTTTCCAAAAATTGCGTAGTAATTAATGAAAACGTAATCAAAAAAGAAAAAAAATCGAAAAATATGTTAAATTCCAGCGTAAAGATAAGAAAAAATGTGATGACCAAGTCAATTTTCTCGCCACATCAGCGTGATTTGATAACGCGGAGGCGAGAAAATTGTCATAATTTCCCTCATCATCCCACCTTGTTTACAAGAAGACTTTTAAAATACACGATTTTATGCTTAATAAATGGCAAATTGTTAATGAAAAATTATAAAATGAGTTACTAAATTGATTTTCCTGCAAACTCCAGGTATAAATCAATCGCAAAGTACGAATCAATTAAGATTTTCTACCCCTTCCAACAGTCAAGTACACACGGCATTTTCTAAAAGAAGTATGCAGTAAAATTAATTTTAGTAAAGAATATTTTAGGGAAAGAGCGAACGTTAAGTTTAATTCAATAAAATAAGCATTAAAAAAAGGAAAAAAGAAGAAAATTTTTCAAAGAAAATGAAACGTTATCGCGATTTACAAAATGAAACTACACTTCCAAGAAGAACACATCAACTGCTGGTAAAAATCGATTGTCTTCACTAGTGGGCGTGTGATAAATGACGCGAGCAGGCATCCACCCACGAACCATTCATGAGTGAAATTTACCAAAGTAATTATTAAAAAGATCAATTCTTATTGTTAGCAACTCCATTCTCTTATCCGTCGATGGAGTTTTCTACGTTCTCTTCTGTTCTTTTATAAATGAAGTATTTTCAGTTTACGTTCTCACTGAAATAGTTTATAGAGGAAGACAAAAAATAAATTAACAAAGCAACAAAGATGTAAACTTTCCGTTAAGTACAGTGAATATATTTCAGCTCAGGTGCATAAAAATAAACAAAAACTCAATTTGAGGAGCATAAAAATAAGTAAAACTTTCAGTTCGAGGCGTTTAGAAATAAATAAATAATTTTTTTCTGAACAAACCAAAAGTAAATTTTCAAAAATATATGATAATAAAATGAAATATCTAAAAAAAAATTCAGAAAACAAAAGTATATTAAATGTAATTTATAACTGTATATCTTGGAGCAGCTGCCATTAGCAACTGTAATTAGCATTAAAGTATGAAACATTAAAAATATTTAAAGTAATAACAATAAAATTTAAGTTAATACAACTGAAAGTACTACTGCATAAATTTGCGTTAGAAGATTAGAATAAATGAAAAATTTCAGAGAAAATTGGGAATAAGTATAGTTTAGTTTGAGGGAGTAAGGCAAGTCAACACGTAGAAAATCTACCATGGAGAAATGCATTCTGCGTGGATTTCCTATAGAAAACTGCACCAATTCAAGTGCTTAGACATGTGAAGAAAACTCCCTCCAGCCCGTTGTTCTCACTTACCCGCGACTAGTGTTTAGTGGTTTTATCCACTCGGCCACTAGAATGAATAAACTGAGAAGTCAAAAATAATGAGGCCAGGTGAATAAAACCACTAAACACTAGTCACGGGTTCGTGAGAACAACGGGCTGGTCGCGTGGAGTTTGCTGTGTTTTCTTCGCAAGTCTAACACGTAAGACACTCCCCATTAGCAGATCTCTCGTGTTGCGTTGCGTTTTCCATTAGACTAACAAATCAAAAATATCTTACACCGAAACCGGAGAGAAAATTTGAAAAAAAAAAAAAATTGGAGTGAGTAAACCGGAATTTATTCAAATTTAACTTTTACCGGTAATTTGAAGAAAATGGAGTTCAAAAAAGTAGTAATTCTAAAAGAAAATGGTTGAAAAACAAAAAACACTCAAATGCTGAAAAATTGGCATGGATAAAGTGAAAATTCCGAAAAATTCAAATGAGAAAATTAGTAATTTTATTATAAAATTGGAATAAGCAAACTAGTAATAATAATTAAAAATGGACTGATAATATTTATAAATTCTCAAAAATTGGGATAAAACGCTGAAAATTTGGGATTAAAAGCGTTCAAAAATTCTGATAAAAATGTCTCAACATTTGGGATTAAAAGCGCTCAATAATTCTGATAAAAATGCTCAAAATTTGGGATAAAAGGTGCTCAATAATTCTGATAAAAATGCTCAAAATTTGGGATTAAAAGCGCTCAAAAGTTCTGATAAAAATGCTCAAAATTTGGGATAAAAGGTGCTCAATAATTCTGATAAAAATGCTCAAAATTTCGGATTAGAAGCGCTCAAAAGTTCTTATAAAAATGCTCAAAATTTGGAATTAAAAGCGCTCAAAAATTCTGATAAAAATGCTCAAAATTTGGGATTAAAAGCGCTCAAAAATTCTGATAAAAATGCTCAAAATGTGGGATAAAAACTGCCAAAAAATTCTCTAAAAATTAATTAAAAGTAGGGGAAAAAATCAAACAATAAACTTGAAGGTATTAAAAAAAAACACAAAAACAGTTATTTTTATACCTCATCACCCTATTTATCTAACATAATTTACGAGGAGATCAGCAGTAACAGCGTGTATACAATTATAAATTGGTTTACACGTGACGACATACAAGTGCACTGTTCAATAATTCATTCAGTAGTCGTCCTGAATGAATTATCGATTGGCTCCACTTTGGCATCATCGATTCCTCCCACGCATTATTTACACTAAATTTTTGGTATATAAAAAAATACACACACACACAAACACACAATCGGTGTTATCAACAGTATAACAGATGCCGTGTGACGTATCCTACAATTAAAAATTATGTAAATTACGTATAGAGAGCTTCTATTGGGAGCTTTTCTTTTTGAGTGAGGTTCGGGGGGGTGGGTAGCGAGTTAAGTATCCCACCTTATGACGGTTGCGATTGGTCGATATTTTCCACCAATCGTGCTGCAGTTTTGTTTGTAGAAGCGTGAGAAGCGGAAGGTGGAAAGACGAGTTTTGTGACGTTTAACTTCTACTAAACAATACTTTTTTTTTTAACGTGATGATGAAGATATTTACCATTATTTTAATTATATTCTATGGTACGGAATGTGCTAAAAAAGACTCCAAAAAATGGGTAATTACTATTATTTAATGATTATTTTTTTTTAAATTATAATTAATTTATAATGAAGCTGTGTGTTTTCAAAAGATGGACTTTTAATGTATGAAATTACTAAGTATTTATACTAATTGAGTACATTTTTAATTTTTTGGAGTTATTTTTATTTTTTTTAACCAAAAGATACGTGCCATAATCGATATGTTAGTAAAACGTACGTTATTACGCACTGGAAAGGGTCCGAACCCCCACCAATGACGTTCGATTCTAATGATTCTACGTATAGAAATCATTAAGTATTTATGTTAGCGTGATAGACATTCGTTTATTAACTCCACCCTGTGATCATTAAATAAAAGGAGTGGGTTCGTTACCCACCTAAGTTCACAATTTACTTCTTCTTTCTATAGGTAGACACATTGTAGACTTTATTTCACGAATACACACCAGTATCCTTACATAGGGCATTCTCTAAGTAAATGTAACCCCGTAACTAGTTTAACTCATTCAGTTTGTTACGAAAGGGTGTAGGGTTCGGTTTCTGTGGTGATGTCCTGGTTAATTAGGTATATATTTTCATTTTTCTTGTAAAATTTCCAGTCATTTTTAATACTTTACAACGAAAATATACGTGCCATAATCATTATCTCTATTAAACGTACGTTTCTGCGACTAGAAGGGTCCGAACCCGCGACTTTCAATTTCGTATTGAAACTATTAAGCGCATATGTTAGCATAAGGATTCTACGTTAACTATCCAATAGTCATTAAATAAATAACATAAAGAGCGTGGGTTCGGTTCCCGTACAAGTTTACTCAAATCTACCAAAGATTTTTAATAGAATATAGCTTAAATTACATAGAGAAAGTGGAATATAAATATATATATATACGATCCTGTTACTACATTAAAACATTCAATATGGGTGTGGGTTCGGTTTCTGTCCTTCACGATTTACTTTCTTCTAAATGAATACAAACATTATTCTACTTTGTATCCACTCCCTTAACCTAATTTTTGAGATTTTTAAGCGATGTTACACCTTTAAAACTCCTTAACAATATGTTAAATTTGCTGTTAACAATTCTACGAACACAAGAATCTAACAGGGATTAATTGCAGTTTAACCCGTACCAAGGTGGCTGAAGGATTAATTAAATCCGTCTGTATGTCTGTAGGCCTAGATGAATTTAACCCGTGTTCTACGATTTATCAGACGAAATAAACAAAAAGATCAGCCATCTTAAAAAAACAGAACCATTAGAAAACTGAAAAGAACTACAGTACTTCAATTTTCTTCATTGGAAGAGTACAAAATCGAATTTTAGTTCGTGGCACGATCAATATTTCCAATTATAGGAATAACGTAAACAAGATATTTATATATATAGGCCAAATCAGTTAACCGATATATATGGAGTGGGCCAAAAATCAGTTAACCGATTACATTGGTTTCTCCGTACGACAGTTAACCGACTTTTCGGCCACCCTCATTGATTAGTAATGTTGGAAATTACGTAAACGAAATTATTTAAAATGTAGTCATGTTGTATCCCTGTTAAGTGAATTTTGGGCCAGCCTGAATTTGTTTTCTAAATCTAATAATTAATCATTTATGAAACTATAGACTATATTTTTAAAATAATAATGTGGCTGGCCCAAAAATCAGTTAACCGACTAAACTGTTTACTAATCTAGTTACCTGTCTTTTGGGCCACCCTTTTTTTTTTGCTCAATTTCTATGCTTTTCGAACTATAAAAACAATAGAACAGCGTATTATTATTATTACTTTTTACACAGAGTGGGCCGAAATTCTGATAACCGGCTCGATGGGCTTTCTCAAAAGCCGGTTAACTGACATTTCGGGCGCACTAATATTCGATTTGTTTACGCCAGATTTCCCTAAAACTTTTTCCAATCGCTTAAACGCCTTTATAATTAATTAATTAACGACTTTTTAATACTTAATTTCCTCCCTTTGCAGTGTTTGGGTGTTTGGCACCCTCCCTCCCCCAAAAAGATTAAATTCAAAGTAATCTAATTGAAACCGAGGATTTAACTAATTAAATTTTTGTATAAATTATGAAGTCAATTTACTTTGAAAGATTTTAATTACGGTGAGTAACCCGTCACCTCTCGTCAATACGATAATCGCTATGGTAACAGCTTTCTATATATAGAAGTATTCATTAAACGAATCAATGAGCGGGATGTAACTATTACTTTATCTTCGTAATCTAATAAATTTCCTGTGAATTTACACACCTCGGTGAAGGTCTCGTGTTGCTGCTGTCTGTAATTTCTTTTTTTCTTCTTCTTCTAGAAGAGAGTTTAAATTACTTATTTACAAGTTAAAGATGAGGAAAAGAATTTAAATACTCGAGGAGGTGTGCGAAAGAAATGATTTACTGTATTACGTACACTGTACTAAGTTCTTTATATGAATGTATTGATTGCTGGTTACGCAGTTAGACGGCCTTTAGTAATTGTAAAATTGGCATAATTCAATTAGTCTAATGAGACTGTACCGTTACTGTGTTATCCTGATTATATTGTGTAGTCTCTACCCGTATACTGATTTTACTGTCTCTGGAAAGACTTCTGATTTAGCCTATACAACTTTGTTTTGTATAGAGTAACTAAGATCCTGGTATTCCTCTTGTTCTAGATGTTTGTGCCATTCCTAGTCGGCCTCACACACACGTATCATGTACCTGGGAAACATGAAAACGGATGTAACTGATACATTAGACATGCTACATGTAAATAGTTACACCTGATTTGCTTCATTGATCAATAATCTTGAATGTTACTTTTAAATTGTTACATTTTCTACTGTAATGAATATTAGATGATCATCTGTGACGTAAAAGATTTTTAGAAGCAGTTCATTGGCTTATATTTTAAAAACTTTTTCAAAGAAAAGCTTTTAACCAATCAACATTGAGCTAATTTATGATTACTAAAAGTTTTCAAGCTTGACATCTTACTTGATTTTGCAGAGGACTGCCTATGTTAATTTTCTACAATTACCTCCTAAAGCTTTAATTAAAGAGTTTTTTTTTTTACAAAAATTTTTACTAATTTTAAAAACATTTTCTTAAAACTCACAAATTTTAAATGGAATTTACTGTATTTTTTTTACTCCTCATAAAGTAGGTCATCTGCTGTTTCAACATCTTTGTGTATCAAGTGAATTACTGTGGAGTATGGCTGACTAAACAAACAAAGTTAAATGTATTCTGACACAATTTTATCAAGATAAATAAATATATATAGATATTCAGACTAAATCTAATTATTTTAAGTATAAATACAAAAAATTACCTTCTTGTAGCACTTGGACTTGTTCTTTACTTTTGAGGATTGATTTTAACATAAAAATTAAATTACATAAAAATATAAAAGTTACATAAATAAAAGCATTTTTATGTAAACTTTTACTAACATTTATCCTGTTAAGGTATGAACCTTTCCTTAAGTTTTATTTGACACTTATAAAGCTTTTCAGTTTTAACAGTCAGATTGTAGGATTTGATGGGATAAGGAAATGTATGGACAATCTGACAAAGAGAGGTGCCTCTTCGGAGGACTTTTTCTTGGAAACTGGTTCCTATTTAGGTGCTACACACACGAAGAAAACTCTGAAAAGTCTACTGGCTATAACATTGATGAGGTGTGACCCATGACTGACTCCCAAGCCCAAGAGGAGGTGGAGGAGGAGAGAGAGCCCTCGATGAGTGAATGCAGCGAGTTTGCACACCAGTGTTTGGTGGTTTATGGATAAAAACATCTAAAATACTATAATTTGTTTTCTTTATGATCATTAATTTTATACTTTTTTACATTATTCTGCAAAATAGCATTAAATGTAGTGTTAAACTATATTTTACTGAATAACTTTGATTTAAATCTAACCCTTTTTTTTGTACATTTTTATATTCTTCTTCTAGCAAAGGGCCATTGATGAGTGGACAAATGTTGTTCTAACCATCACAGCAATGGACAACACAGATCATGAATTCTTCAATAGCACCCTTGACAACATACTTCAACCAAGAGTGCCGGGAACCATAGGAAATGAACGAGTCAGGAAGGTTAGTAGTATCCTCAACATCCTACAACCAAACTACATATTAGGTTTACTTATTGTCAATTCTTTCAGTTCATCACCAATATGATGAAGGATTTGGAATGGGATGTGCAACATGATTCTTTTGACAGCAATACACCTAATGGAATTCGTACCTTCACCAATATTGTTGCCACACTAAATCCTAATTCTTGTAGGAGATTGGTCCTGGCTTGCCATTATGATTCTAAAGATATACCAGGATTTGTAGGTGCCATAGATTCTGCAGTACCATGTTCCATCATTATATATTTGGCATGGGCGTTGAATGATCAGTTGAAGTATTTTAATCAGGTAAGTGTAGAAACACCTGGATGAAATGAGAACTTTCACTAACAATTCACAAAATTTCAACTCTCCTGCTTGCCAATAATGAATAAAAAAGCCAGAATGGCAAGGAAGTTGCCATTCCAGTAAACTACTTTTTTCAAATGATTGATCAACAATTTTACAAAATTTGGGGACCACAAATATGGAAATCCTATCATAATTTTGCCAGTTGAATATTAAATGCTTTGTCCATTTGCTCATACTAAATCATGTATTAACTATTGTATCTGTAGATCATGTATTATGATGAAACAGATGGACATTAGCACCTGTTGCAATCTTGCTGCAAGGTGTGAAAAAAATGGACCAGCAACTTTATGAACACAAACTATTTCAGTATTTTGAAAAATACTTAGGTAAAAAACTAGAAACCATTTCATGCAACACAGTAACGTCTACAAGCTTTTTGATAGTTCGGCATGACCTACAAAAGGTAGACTTGCTAAATAAGACATTTTGTATTATGAAAATGATGAAATCAAGACTTCCTGATTTTCTGTAGACAAGCAATTGTAAGATAAACACAAAAAATCTCTTGTTATCTATCTGTTCAGCCAATATTTTCTGTAGACACTTAATCAGGTTATACTAAAGATGAATGATCAGCCATCCAAATTTCCAACTTTGCTTCCTGTTGTCAACTATTGCTCAATTCTTAATGTTAGCAAAGCCTGCTCTGAAATGGGTTCAGTTGTTACAGAATGCCAGAGTTACCTTCAGACCAAAACTTTGCAGGATTAAATGATAATTGCAGTGAATGGAACATTCTTGAAAAATTCCAACTATGTTCCAGCAATTGACACATGGTATTTCAGCAGCTAAAGGATAAGGTATACTGAAACATTGGTAAAACCAAGTAAGCACAAACATATGGCACAACAAAGCAGCTAGCAAGGTTTCATTTGTTTTCCTTCATGTAAATAGCATTGATAACACACCACTACTTATTGGCTTATAGGTATCCAAGTTATGTATTACAACACGACGAAAAAAAGATGGTTTGCGCAAATAGTAAAGCTATTTTGGCAAGTAAAATTAAATTTGAAATTTTGTGGGTTGCTATACACATAGAAGTAACATCACCATTGTAAAGTACTTGCATCATATGTATATGTATATATGTATGGTATGTGATATACATTAGTACATTTATATCAGCTCCTTGATGTATCATGTTCTACAGTGCTCTAGGTACAGTACATTCCAAGGTGTTTACATATATAAATATAGCTCATACCAGCTCATATATAAATGAACATGATTGTGAATATTTACACAAGTATGTAAACACTATTATGAGATGTTCTTGCATGAATTAAGCTATTTTTTATTATATACAGAATATTATTCTTATATTCACAAAATTTTAAATATGTTAAAAAAGAGATTTATATAATAAAACTTGTCAAATAATAAAAGGAAAAAATCTGTAATTGTAAAGGACAAATAACAATAGCAATTATATTTTATAAAACTAATTATTGAAGAAGTAAAACTAATAAAGAAAATAATGATGAGTAATGAGAAAATGATAAAATTAGTTATTACAGTATAATAAAAACACTACAATAATTAAAAATAGAAACTATAATTAGTTTTCTTGGAATCTTAATTATTTTAATTTTGAAATTATATACTTAGATTCTAACAATGTCTAATTTTTCAGAAAGTTAGCATTTAAAAATAAAAAATTTATCTAAACATATATAAAATCACAATTTTTGAATTTCAAGTTGAAACTGGAATCTAGATATGAACATAAACAATTACAAGTTAGTGTAAAAAATCCATTTTCCTAGTACTTTTGGATCCTAAAGCTCAGTTTACACTCATACAAATTACTACAAATGAATGAAACGAACACTGACCAAAACAAAATATTTCCTCATAATATTAGTTAAAAAGATTTCAAATACTAGTTATGAAAAATTGATTGGTTGAAGGAACAGAAGTTTCGAAAAAGTTGAGATATTCTCAAATCCTAACAAACTGGCTCAACACTTGCTGAAAGTGATGAACTGGTAGTTCATATCCACTTTGTAGCAATTCATATGCCAAAGTGAACTTAGCTTAACAAGTTTTCTATTCTTGAGAAGTCAGGGGTCTATGCTGTACCACTGGAGAATCTTGCTATGGGAGTAAACACAAGATACATTAGGGCCACAACAAAAATGCTAGCTAGCCACCTAGCAGAACACAAAGAGGATGTTGTGAAGGGAAGGTACACTACAAAACTTACAGAAAAGGTACTTGAACAGGGTTACAGCCCACTATGGTCCCAAACAAGTATGCTCAAGAGCTGCAAAAATCGCAAATTCATTTTTATATGGGAGTCTCTTCTTATTAATATCTTGGATATATGCAATACTCCCACTCTTGGCCTGCCCAATGTATGTGTCACATTGTATGAGTGGTTAAACAACTATCACTATCCTCCATCATACGTATAACATGAGTCTAGATCCATGCGTGCGCTGCTTTGCATATTATGCCATCTTTGGAGGTTATCTACCTGGGTACAACATTAGAGATCAAAAGTGCTAAGATCAAATTCTTACTATAATTTTTGAATATTCATGCATATATTGAATCCCAATAAAGCAGTTTTAAGCTGTATTTATAACTGAAGCAAACTATTTTTTTATTCTTCTGTATATTAATTTTGATTCTTTAATTAATGCTATTTTTTAAAACCAGAATGACTGTACAGAAATGAAAGCTGAATTTTTAGTTTTGTTAGTGATTGTAATGCTTTTTTTTTTCTTTTAATTTAAATAATTTCTGTTTTTGTTAGCTTCTTAATTGAAAATTGGTTGTCTTTTTTAAAATTAATTATGAAAAGATTAAAAGAATGAAAGAAAATGCAATTTCAAGATCAGCATAAATCGGCAATTTTTAAAAAGCTATACAAACTATATAATACATCCAAACTACGAAATTCAGAATGCTATGAGAATTATGGATTCCCTGACAAATTTTGATGTGTGAAAATTCCACCACGAGCCCTAATATCATGTCTCTTCTTGAGATCCTGTGTTTCCTTTTTCCATCTTCCTATGTATGATTGCCTTGATAGATAAACTGATAGGATAAAACAATGCAATATGTAGTGATCTACCAAGGGTTGCCTTCCAGGAGGAAACCTTTCTACAGGAAACTGGTCTCTATTTAGGTATTATGCATGCGAAGAAAATTCAGAAACTCCACGTGGCAATATAGTGTTGAAATGTGAACCATAACCAGTGAACAAATGTCTGTTTATTAGTCAATAGGTATTTAATTGTAAAATATAATTGTACACTGATCTGTATGTCTGTTGTTAGTATATTTTATATTTAATATTCCAGAATGATGGATTAACCATTCAATTAATCTTCTTTGATGGAGAAGAGGCCTTCAAGAAGTGGAGAGAAAATGATAGTCTGTACGGTTCCCGACATTTGGCAGGAAAATGGTCCTTACAAACTGACACCAGAGCATGCCCTGATCAACAAACAGAAATTAAGAAGATTGTAAGTAAATTATGTATTTAATAAATTATGCATTATTTATTGAACCATAATCAAAAATCCTGAAATTATCACATTTATCCAGCCTCATCATCATAACATGGTTACTAAATTTCAATATAAAAACACTAAACTCGTAAGGAGTCAATTCCAAACAATGTTATCTTTGTTTGGGGATTATTTTTAGTTTGTTGTTCTGTTTATTTTGGGGCATTTTATTTCATTAAGGATAGACTACCGCACCTCATCCAGACAAAACTCTAAAACTAAAACTCACCTTACTACAACAACTGCTGGCAGCAACCAATTACGTCATCAAACCTGGAAACGACAACTCGGGAAAGGCTTCCGCAGAAAGTTAAAAGAATGATCTCCTGCTCCAAATTGTCATAAAAAGGCAACAAAAAATTATATAACATTAGTTGTATGTTTCGTGGAACCTACATAAAATTGCTATTGAGAATATATCACACAGGAACACACCTCTTGACGAAAAAGTGGATTTTTATAAGCCTGATAAATGTACAGTAAAAGCCTTTTTACCTTGTTTTTAACCAGTTTTTACTGGTGTTAAAATTTTTATATTTTTACTCCCTTTATTGGTTAATTTTATCTGCATTTTAACTTTACTTTAATGTTAATTTTGTTTTACTTGTTCTATTCCATTATTTTAACAATTAGTTATTCCAGTAGTCACTATAATTATATTTTTAGTTTTACCATTATATACAGTCGACCCCCCTATAACACTGTTGATTATTCCGTTTTATATGAATTCCATGTTGTACGAGTCACTTAGATTTTACAAATATGTGAGCTGTTCACAGTCTGGCAGACGTATTTGCAAAATCTAAGTGACTTGTACAACATGGAATTCATATAAAACAGAATAATAAACAGTGTTATAGGGGGTCGACTGTATAATAAGAACTGAAGAGGAGCATAAGACCTGAAAAGCATATCCTTTGTAAATTATAGAAAATAAAAATCTGCTTTCTCCATCAAGAGGAGTGTTCCTGTGTGATATGTTCTCAACAGCAATTTTATGCTAGGTTCCAAGAACACACTACCAATTGAGAGAACAGCATATAATCAAGTACTATAAAAGATTAAATATAAGGACAATGACACGACTGAAAAAAAGATTACTAGAATTATGCATGTAAATAGGATCAAGTTGGCTTAATCATGTAACATCACCAAAACCGTACTATAAGAAGGAGGTGAAGCTCAAGATTGAACAAGGTGATGCTAAGGGTCGAGCGGGGTTAAAGCAAGGCTTTCAAGATCCATTGACGACAAAGAAGTTTCTTGGTCACGGTTAGGCAAAGTTAATTAATAAGGTCTCTTTCTGAATTTTCAATAGATTTCAATTTCATATTTTTGCTTGTCAGTTTTGCAGAGGTAATTCTAAGATATAAATTAAATTATAGCATCCCCCAAGTATTGGGAAAAGTTCTTGTACATGTATGTATATATATATATATATATATATACATTGGTTGTATGGATTTGATAAAATATCCTTTTAGTATATTTTAAATTTTTGCTAACTTTATTTTGTTATTGTATATATTCAGGCTTAGAAGAATAAATGGATTTTTTGTTATTTAAGTAATATAGTAATTACTTATAGTAATTATTTCAAATTTTTGATTTATTAACAATTTTTCATTACTTATTGCTCATGTAAAATCCAGCCTGGCACTCTTGAACCCATGTTTATGTAATGCACTGTTAGGAAGCTACGAGTATCTGGGCTCTCAATAGAAATATAGAAATAGATAAGGCATTACAAACTGATTCAGCAAAAATTTGTTTATTATTCTATGCGACAAATCTTATATTCACTCAAAATTTATTGTAAGACAAATTAGGAAAGAAATTTTCAAGTTTCCTGCACTGAATTTGAGAATGGACTTTAGTTACAGGATTTATTTATTTTTGGGGGAGCACAAAGCCTAATTAACAAGCAGTCAGTCAGTAATAGAAAACAGAATTTGTAACACAGCAATATCTTAGTAATAAACATTATTAACTCCATATTGGATAAATTGGGTTAATTTAAAATGTCTTATAGAAAAAATAGTTGATATTTTATTAATGACTTTGTTGGCACACAAACTTGATATGTTATGGCTTTTAGCTTCATTAGTAATGGGCCCCACCTATAATGAGTCAGCAAACTAAGAGTAATTAAATATGGGACACACTGGTTCCAGATTTAAGATATGCAATATACAAAGTACAGTAAGACCCCGCTTAACGTGGGGATGCATCCTTAAACGACAAAGCGCTGAACGAAACAGTGTTAAACAAGGCCATTTTAACATAGAGTAAATAGGGATAGGAAAACATGCAGCCAAAAAAATTTTACTTTAATTTTAAGATATTTTTATATTAATTTGTATAATAGTATATGTTAAATAACACCATAAACATATGCACACAGAAATGTATATATTACAGTAATACCTCAACTTACATTACTCGAACTTATTACACGAACCTGGAGTTACGCGATTTTCAAATCTCATCGATTCGTCTTTTGTTTGAGCGCCACACAACTCTTGATTACTCACTCCCCCCACACTATTGTTCAGCTTACATGTTTGGATGTGTCGGGCAGAATCGGCACATAGCTATAATTTATTTTGTGTTATTTATTTCTGTGTTTGTTATATCTACGGAGACTTGAGAGACTCTATGTTGTGATTTCTTGTAACCGTGAATGAATCAAAAGACAAGATAAGATTAATGAGAACATTTATTAGCTTACATACATCTGACTTGAATTTTACACAAATTGTGAAAGTATACCCCAACTTACACGAATTCAACTTACGCGGTTATCGCTCAGTCCCACCTATCGCATAAGTTCGGAGTATTACTGTATTTTATATTATATAATATGTTAATTAGTTCATTTTTTCTATATTAGGTCCTGACTTTTCTGAAAATCTTGTCTTTTTTTGCAATAAAGTTGTGAAGTTTCATTTGTCACTTTTTTCTTTCTTTAAGCAAATGTCAGTAGCAGAAGATCTCATCCAAAACACCTCGTTTTGCTTTTTCACGCCTTTCAAAATCTAGATCATTCGCTACAATTTGATCAATGATTTTGGTTATAGTTACCAAACTTTTACTAAGGAAATCTGTAGAGTAATTTTTTGGGTTCTTCATTTTCAGAATAGTGATTCTGAAAATTCTGAAAACGAAGTTCTGCATAGATTCCTTGTTCTGCCAGTTCTTGAAGATCATCGTTGATAAGACTTTTACCAGAAACCTGCAATAACTCCTCAATATCCTGTTCATCTATATCATGTAGTCCTGCTGTATCGATTAGGGTGAGTTTTAATCAACCTAACAGTACAATGATAGGCTCTTCTCATTGAGAATTCTTGGATACCTTCAGCCATAACTTCTTCCACACTTTATTCATGCATTTATCAGTTAAATCAGTTGATCAGGTAATCGGCCAAGCAAAGCCGATATTGCCTATGGCAACCATGATGTTATATTTTTTCCAAAATTGCACCAAACAAACAGCTTTAAAGAAAGTACATCTTTTTTCTGATTGGTTTGTGTTCGTAAATAATAGTGTTATGTACAAATCAATAAAATACCATGATAATTTAAATTGGCGTAAATTTTGAGCTTTTTTTTTAGGTTTTGAGCAGATGGCGTTATATCGAATCAACGTTAAGTGAGGCAGCATTAAGCGGGGTCTTACTGTAGTTATGTTAATCTTTGTCTATTCTTTTACAGGTAAAGTATGTTACTGAAATAAGAAGAAATAAATTTAAATTATTTTGGTGATGCGAACCCACAGTCAGCATGAAGTTGCTGAAAAGTTTATTAGGCTTCATTCAGACTTCCACCAATCATTTACAGTGATCTAGGTGCATCCTGTTACTCTTCAGCAACTTCTTACTCACTACAAGTCCCCACCATCAAAATAACTTGAATTTGTTCCTCCTTACTTAGTGCCATGTTTTACATGGACTCTCAGAAAATTTTGGATCAACTAGATTCAAAGTCCAGCAATGGTAAAGTTCTGTCAAGATTATTTGAGTAGCTATATTGCCTTTTGAGATACCTATATCATTATTTAGTTGTTTACTATAATAGTAAGTGCATTTTCTTATGAAGTAAAAAAACTAATCATAGATAATAATGGCGCTAGAATTTTCATTTTGAAAGGGTGTAGATAGGCAGAACACTGTTTTAGTGGAGCGGGTGTTATCTGCACATTTGATCATCAAACAAATTCATTTTTTTAAATATAGCAATTGATTTTTTTGTAAGATATGTGATCACAAAGTTTAATGAGAATGTATGGACTTGAATAAATTACTTTGGGCTGAGCAGATAGGTCGCAAGGAGATTTTAGATTGGGCTGACATCCATCTTCGCATCGTCCATGAAAATGTCTAGATTTTTGTGCTATTTTCTCTCAAATTTTTCTCTTTATTAATTTTTAATATGTATTATAAATTATTCAAACTTATGATATTTTCTTTATTTTTTTAAGGATTTATTTATTTTATTGGATCTAATTGGCTCAAAACAGATGGAATTTTGCAGCATGTTTTGGAACACACACAATATTTATCTGCAATTAGTTTCCATTGGTAAGTAATAGCAAACATATACCATCATTTTTTAATTTAATCATATCATATACTGCTATAAATAATGGTTTTCTATTTACAGAAAAGCAATTAAACCAACTAAATGTTTTAGAGAAAGATGATCCAAATGAGTATACAAAATATTTTGGAAAGGAGTGCTTTCTAAGTGTAATACAAGATGACCATTTGCCTTTTCTTCAAAAAGGTCAGTCATTGAATTTAATTTACAGGTTTGGTTTATTCATATACAGCAACGCAATACATGGGCAATCAGTTGAGGGGAATGCTTCCAGGGAGGACTTTCTTTGGGAACTCACTGTTTAGGTGATAGTAATATGAATAAAATCCAGAAAACTCCATGTGGCCAGCCCATTGTTGAAGTGCAAATCCACAACTAACTTCTATCACTGACGGAAACCTTTCATTTACAGGAAAGCTCCATATAATGTTAGAGGTCCTATAACATTATAATGCAGCAGGAAAATTTGCAGCTGCCTGTATCTTTTCTATGTATAGATATATATAGTTGTGTATATCATTAGACATATCATTGTGTTACATGTAGTCCATGCAGAGTATATACATCCTTATGTACAGTACCCATGTAACTGACAAATGCAGATAGCTATAGTTATGTATACTTATAGTAAGGTGACTTCAAAATACACAACAGGAGACAGCTTGCAGTGCCCTTAGTGGTAAAATTTGAAAGTTAGTGTCACTATCTCAAAAATGATGTATACAATACTGAAAAAAGTTAGTTATAAACTTGTAGAGCATGACTGATGTTGTATAAAAACCATGCATACATGAATAGAAAGCATGAAATGCTAATTTGCTGGTATTCTATTCCCATCAATGCTGTCACTAATCTCGTATGATATAAAAACTCAAAATATATCACGCATCATTTTCAAGATAAGAGTGCAATCTTCCAACTTTTACCATCAGAAGTGCTCCAAGTGGTCTTGTCTTGTAGTGCATAATCACTTTACTATAACTGTAAATTGTATTCATAATTGTAGCTATCTGTGTTCATCAATTATGTGGGTGTATAATGACTTTACTATGAATTAGCCATGTACAAATAGATAAAATTATATGGTATAGCTTATTATGTACACTATGATGTTTGCTTAATGACAAAAATCACTTAATGACATATATTCTTGGAACATAGCTGATCATTAAACAGTACTTTTTTGTATAAATTTACAAATGGATTAATTGTTATTAAAAACTTTTATCATCCAGCAATTCTATCATCATATGGTAAATACCAATTCTACACCTAATTGTAATGAACAAGAAATGTTTTCAACTTAAAATTTAAATGAATGGAAACAATCACTACTAAACCTGTTATAAATTTATATTTTTTAAAACAAAGAGTTCTGTTTCACTCTGTTGAATGCACGTTTTCAGGACGCTTTAATATATGAAAAGATTTGGTTTCCCAAAGCAAGTATCAGGTTTTTGTATATGGAATAGCTGACTTAACAAAGTATATTTACTCACATGCAAAATGGTTTACCACTTTAATCCAAAGAATGACTGATAGCACCTATGCATGTTCTTGATATGTATTGACACTTTTGTAACAACTAACAAGAGTATGGATGCCGCCTTGATGAAACTTGGTTGTGTGCAAGTCCTCAAAAGTCTGATATGAGCATTATTACAAAGTAGCCTGTCTATTGATCATTGCTGGTTCTCTTTATATATTTTTGCATGAATTCATTACAATTCTTTGCAGTGAAGATCTGTATTAATGATTTCACAGGTTAAGGAATAAGAAAGAGATTACACTAGCTGCACACTTACATACAGTAATGACATTCAACAAATGTAAATGTAGCTTTTGCCCCAACCACACTTGGTATCTTCATTAGAATAAAATCACTGAACAGCTCAGTGATTTTATTCTAATGAAGATACAGCAGCATCCAGTTTTCATTTCATCTTACAACAAGAATTGCTTTCTCGTAGTATTGTATTTTCAGGATAGCTCACATGCAGGTAGTTTCTGTTGTTTCTATCTTACAACTTGTATTGATAGTATCTATTTATCCAATCTTTTAATCTTCCTTAGATCAAATTTTTGGATCAGCATGCATTTTCTGAATACTTCTTGAATGGGTTAATTACTCATTGTTTCAGCCAAATGACTATTTGCAGAATTGTTCTAAAAATTTTATGCAGAAAATACAATTGTACTACTATTTCTTCTGCTATATTAATTTTTGGATACGTTGAATGCATTGTGCCTCAGTTTGAACTCAAAAAATAATTACATCATGCAGATTTGCTGTATGGTAAATGACCAGACATCCGATATTTTACAGGACAATTGTGTATTTTGACCCCACCATGTTACCCTGACAGTTTTTGTTAGGATGTCCAAAATGTTCTGTAGAATTTCCCAATAAAGTCTTGTATTTCAAGGAATCTTGGGGAATTCTCTCTCTAGAATTTTGGATTATTTTAGAAACGTACATATGTAAGTAAACAATTGATGCCATTCATTAGTTATTGTTACACAGAGATGAGGCTGTACATAAAATTTTTGGCATCTGATCTGTTTGGCAATGCACACCTTGCTATGTAATCAAGTAAGATGTCTGCAAGAAAAGGGAAAAACAATGTACTGGTACCATGTATGGGGATTTACCAAAATAAATAATAATATAATTAATTATTATTAATTTAAATAATATTGATACCATTCATCGGNAACAGCAGTGCAGAGTTTTACAACTTTCTACAGAAAATAAACCCACTGCAAAAAATACATTCTGCCAAAAAAGCAGCAGCCTAAACCAGGGGTCGGCAACCTTTTGAGTCAGAAGAGCCAAAATTACAATTTACAAAATTTCAAAGTTTTTAAAGAGCCACAAATTTTTTTCTTGCCAACAATAAATAGTACTTGCATAAATAAAGTTTCTTGATAAAAAAAACTAATCTATTTATTCATAAGAAAAAAATATCTATTTATTCATATATAAGTAGTGTTTTTCACAACAAATTAAATAATAGAAACATCCGACAACGGCGTCATTCGAGAGCTTCCGACGGATTGACAACAGTGACGACGCGTGTCACAGGGGAGGGGTGTGGTGAAAAGCGAGTACAAGTGGCCGAGAGATAGAATCAGTACCTAATCCTCGTTAATCGATTCAGAACGATTTTTAAATGGTTTTTTTTTGATAAAGTAAATAATATTTGCGTATGGAACTAAAGAGCCGCAGCTTCACATCCAAAGAGCCGCATGTGGCTCGCGAGCCACAGGTTGCCGACCCTTGGCCTAGGCTATTGCAAATCCTACCATCATGTCTGTAAAGTAAATTAATAAAAACAAAATTGTACGTTTTCTGAAATTTACTGTTTACCATTAAATCATGGTCTTCCTGTTTTTATCTATAACATGTGCAAGAAATCCAGTAAGAAGGATGGGCTCAAATGTAGGAATATGAGGAAAAAGACATTTGGTGTCAAATATTGGCTTTACCAGTCTGATCAGTTTATATATACGTTCAACTTAAAAAGCCTATTTGCTCACTACTCACAAGACACTGAATGAAACTAGTGTGACATATATAGACCAAATCACCACTATCTGTTTTTGGACATATCATACAAGACAATAAGACTGTTTCATTGCCAATTGGGAGATGTAAACCTATTTCATATACAAAAACCTGATAGTTTGGGTCAGTTGCTAAAATATATGTCTTTCAGCAACAGATTTTAATGTAGTTGAATTGTTCTAAGTATTGATCAAGCTGATTCTTATAAATCTGTCACAGGATCATACCAAATATGCCAACGAAAGGATCCTAGCACCACATACTATCAAAAAATCCTAGATACATCCATTCCTTATCTACACAGGATAATATTTTGGACCACACTAATGGGAAAATTTAAGCCTGGAAAATAATCCATAGCATATCAATTAATAACAAAACTCTTGTAGAAAAAATGAAGTAGAATTATAGTAACTTAATCATTAATTTCTTCAATATTTTAATAATAATATATTTTCTTAAAAACAAGTTTGTTCTTTTCAGGTGTTCCAGTGTTGCATCTCATTCCACCTAATTTCCCTCTGGTTTGGCACAAGACTTCCGACGACAGAAGTCACCTTCACCACCAAACCATCAGCAATTTAAACAAAATTCTGAAATTGTTTATCTTTAATTACTTACTGAAAAATGAAGATGCATCTTAGTATTAAGACTTACCAATTTAAATGAATGAAATAGAAAAAGAAAATCTTTTAAGAGATTCTTCTACTAAAAATATGATGATAAATGAATATAGACCATATAAAACTAAGTAATTATAATACTTATTATATTGTTCACAAGCCCTGAATCTATAACATAAATTTGTGGTTCTTCCAAGCAGAAATTGGTTTTATGGCATTACATATAGTACATTTTGACAATTTCCATATCCACTCTGTACACATGCATAAAACCTTAAATAGGTTTCACGTGGCCGTACTTATAAAGAAGCTGGCATATTATTCTGATATACTGTGATATAAAATTAGATTAATTATCAATTAGATTAATATGAAAGCTCACTAGTTACGTTGTACATGCAAAATGTACTTATGGTACATTAAAATCAAATGATTGAGGTCACAATAGACAGTATATAATTTAAGTATGGAATTTAAGTAAACATATAATAAATATTAGTGAGATTTTTCATGTAACTTTTAATAATAAAAAGAATGAGTACTGATGCATTGTTAAGGTATATGATGATGTTATTTTAGAATCTTTGTAATGAGGTATTAAACGAGAATGTTCTACAGTTTCCTCCAAGTAATAAAATCTGACATCATACTTTTAGTATTCTAGTTCAATTTTATTGCAAGTTAAGCATAAGATTCTCATTACATATATGAAAATAATGGGTTTAACACTATAATCATTGTCAAACTTATATGTAAGAATAAATCCTATAATTATCTTATGGAGTATCTAGTTATGTAGATCATTATATAGATATATATAGGAATATCTTTATATAGATATTTACAATTGTAGAAGGAAGTTATCAGATATTGTGTAAAAGCATTGCTTTAATTTTTAAAAAAGCTGGAACTAGAAGAGCAAAGATTCTATGTAAAAGTGAAGTATATAGAATTTGTATTAATATGCCACGAGTATGCATGAGAACTATAGAAAGAAAATTGAGAAAATTTTACAGTGCAGACTAGACATTCAAGCGCAATGGTGCACCCAGAGGATTCCCTGGTAGAAGGAAAAGAAATGCTAGTAAATTTTCCAAAAATATTTTTGTAATTAAGATTCTTTTTATTTATTTTGTTGTGTGTTCTATTTCAATATTACTTATGAATTAGCAGTCACATAAAGTGAAAATTTTATTGATTTTGCATTAAAAATTCTTTTATTCATTTAACCTGGCTCCCCAAGATTAAATCTTGAGTACACCACTGTTCAAGAGGAAGGATTAACAGCAAACTTGAAGAGTGCTCAGAATAAAGATATAACCTAGAGAAAGCCAGAGATAATGTTAAAATAACTGGATTTATGCAAGAATATGTAACAAAGTTTTATAATTACCACTTTAGATTTTCTTCCAATCCTTATACAAAGTTTATAAATCATTTTTATATTCTCTAATAATATCCTTCAGTTAGTATGTGTATAAATTTGTTCAGTAGAGTCTCAGTTTATGCAGTATTCATACTTTTGCATATGATGAATAGATGGGTTAATCCATAGATTTACACTTGTGTACATCTGATTAATAAAGCTATTAATCCTATTCTTAAATTAGCCAACCGGGCTGCTCTTCTGAGCACAGAAGAAATGAATGCTAATCACTAATGTAATTACCCTGGTTTGCATGTACTTAATACAGTATAATTACTATGATTGTTATATGCAGTTATGTAGCAATCAATCAATTTAAGCTAAACTTCTGTCTAATTTGTGATATATCCTTCTGATGTATCCATTCCATTTTCTTGATGAACAGAGACTAAGAATAAACAGAAAATTACATGCATTTTCTTAAAATCAAATGTATTAATCTGTTCAACTTTGAGTTTCAGATAAAGCAAATCGATTTATAAATATTTACATTAAATAAAACTTTAACTGTTGAGTAATACTTAATGATAGAAAACTAAAGTGTGTCTTTACCTTTAGCGTTAGAATTTCAAGGATTTAATGTAATACTATAAAATGTACTAAAACTGTTGGTGTAATTCTGTAAAATCTATAAATAAACATTTTTAAAATAATAAAAGTCATTGAAAGCATATAGTTTACATAAATTTAAATAAAATACCATTTACTCTATAGATTACACTAGATTGTAGATTGTATGGGAGAGAAGTCACCCAACACCAAACCCAAAAGGTCCAATGTGCCAAGATCAACTGAAAGCCAAGATGCAAGGAATAATATATCCGATACCCTACAGGGACATAGAGTCAGAGTAATTTTAAAAAATACCAACTTGGGAGTTGTGTATTTTTCTGCTGACTTCCCATCCGAAATTCCATAAGGCAGTCACACACTCTTCTATGGGGTCCACGTACAACAAAATCTGAAGGGAGAAGAACCATCTCATTCTCAGTTTATAGTCCCGGAGGTAATCTGCACTTTTATCTCAGACTGGATCCCAGATTATCAATCATTTCTTTCTCCTCTTCTTTAAAAATCAACTTGGAATACTTGATCAAATCGATTTTAACAGTGCAAGAACCTTAACAGACTATGCTACACCAAACGCAAGGTGCTAAATTATATGGAAGAGATCCTTTAATTCCAGACACTGCATCCGGCAAGACAGTAAAATGCTACATTTACTACGAAGAAATTTATAAAATTATCTCCAATCTCTGAGATCTCTCCATCAAAATTCTCCCAAGTTTTCATTCTGTTAAAGTTAATTTTGATAAAAACCAAGATACCAATAACTGTACAGGGGCATAGAGTAGGAGTGAGTGTTTTAATGAAAAACAAATGTTTTGACCCCATTCAGAGGTATGGCTCAGGTTATAAAATACGTATGTTAGAAAATTAATTAAAAGAACTAAGTTCTAATGGCAGACCTATTATAAATTTACAACATTCGAAAACGAACAATTTATATATTTTAAAATTTAAATAAAATAAATTACAAGAGCTGGGTTAAAATGCTATACCATATCTGTAAAGATCTAAACTATTTTACCATGTACCGGTACCAAGAAGACTCCCGTATGCATTGCGCACTCTTGATGTAAATCGGAAATATCACTGTTTTTTGCCAGATCTACACTCAAAATATTTATTTGTTTATTTTCTTTATGGCCAAAGCAACTCTTACTTTCAATTTTATATTGTCGGTTTATATTAACGAGACACACTTGCCACCGACACTGCGCATCCTTCTGCATTTTACTAATAATACTAGCAAAAAATAACAACAGGAAAGGTTAACATTGTTAGATTATTTTGTACTACCTTTCTACTATATTATATTATATTATTTGATTTATATTTACAAAGGTTATCTTACATGAGGATTTATCACACTGAGTGATCAATCTAACGCATTTTAAAAATTCTTTAAATTGTGTACAGTAGAGGAATAAAGAATTTTTAAAATGTGTTAGATTAGTTACTTAGTGTGATAAATTCTTATGTAAGATAACCTTTGTAGTTATATAGCTGATCTTACCCTTTTCACCGGGTGCAAGAAATAGATCCCCCCTCTTCCAAGACTAATTGCGAAATTTTTAGATTGGTTTAAAAATATGTTTGATTTCCCACAAAAACGCATTAAAATAGTACAGTAGAAGCCCAGTTCTTCAGGATTATCTTTAGTCCTCTCCCTCTCCCTCACAGGGGAGAGGAAGAGGTTACCTTAACTGACGTACCCTAACTGTGTACCAAATTTCAACTTTCGACTCCTAACCGTTTGGGCTCTGCTCTTATTAATATTGTCATCAACCCATCTCAATTATATATGTGAGAACCGAGGGGATAGAGTGGTGAGCTTGGACCCTTCTTACCGGCTTCGCATTAGGGAATGGCTTAAGTTGTAAACGAGTGGGAGGGTTAGCGAGGTCGTGATAAGGTGTCGGCTGTACTCAAGGATGACTCGTATTAAAACTTAAGAATAACATATTTAATAAACACAAAACTTTTACAAAAAGAATACGTAAGCTTAAGGTACAATACAGACTCCCTGATTATCCCTTAATAGTGTGACATTTAACAACCCAACAACAACGGTAAACATCAACTGGACCTGCCGACACAGTTCTCGTAGTCTGTCTTCCCATTAAATTTCTCTATTTAACGGAGTTGACATTAGTCCAGTTTATAAACTATTCTAAAAGAGAGAGTTTACCTCTGCTTTAAGCAACTACCTCTATACTGCAGCATTCAAGTCTAGAGAGGTCCTTCGATAGGGTAGATAAGGAGGTGTCCGAATAGAGTTTCCGCCTAGGCGCTTCCTTTCAGCGATCACCTTGAGGTGTGAGTGCGGCCCCTTTTTATACTAGTCCCGCAGGGGAACTATCAGGGGGAGTTCTGAAGCAATGTGGTCCAAGTTCGATTTGCGTTCTGGTGTTGTTTATGTTAATTGTCAGAAATCGAACGTTCCGACAAATGTATTACCTCTTTCTATCCAGTATTGTTACTCATTTTACCTCATAAAATTGATAACAGTTGTCAAACAAACTGAATTAATGGCCAGTAGTGACTAAGGTCATGATTTGTTTTGCAACCTTAGTAATAATTGTTAAATTGGAGAGATATTTGATCAGTTTTATCTGTTAAGAAATCGATCAAAACAGGATGTGTGTGGGTATGTTCACTTGGATCTCCTCTTTTCTGTGATCTTCTCATTACTCTCTCTCGTGCAACAAAATTATGATATTTCATTAATTGGCTAGCTACCTGTAGATTGGAACAAGGGAGAAAATGAACAGGCGATGAACGACCACTGGGAGAGTGAAAGTGTGAAAGGTGATTTCTCGATCTCCCTCTGAGAAAGGGAATAATAATTTATATCCAGAACTTTTTACATGTTATTGCCAGTAAGCCATCCATAGACAACAAGAGAGGGGAGATGATCATTTCAAGATCAAGAAGGAAATCAGAGAAAGAAGGGAAATAATGAACAAATTTGGGTTTCTTTCTTTTTAAGAAAAATACTCATACTGTAAGACATACCTTATCCACATAATATAAGAGGAAAGGTGGACGAGTTTGGAATCTCACATATATATAAGATCGAGATGGGTTGAAAATATTAAGGTTTACCCTGAAAAAATGGACTTCTACCGTACTATTTTAGATGCAGTTTTCTTGCGTTTTTGTGAGAAATTGAATATATTTTTAAACCTATCTAAAAATTCTCTAATTAACCTTGGAAGATGGAGGACTTAATTCTTGCACCCAGTGAAAATGGATAAGATCGGCTATAATCTAATAATCTTAATCTTTGCTATCACCCGAGCAACACAGGTGCATGGTAATGCTGTTTCTAATATTTAATTATAGCCTTTACATAGCCCAAGAATTTGGCATATTGTTTGGAGTGTTTATCAAACATATTATCTGTGATTTTTTTGTTTTCTGCAAATCGAATTCTCATTCCAAGTTGGTTCATTCCACGCTAGAAAAAATGATGATGATGATGATTCACACTCCTTAACAATGCATATTGTACAATTTTCTTTGAATAAACGTTATACATAAAATATTTGAGTATTTTTTTCAGCGTGGAATGCGTTATTGTATTTTACATTAATTTCAATGGAAAAAATTGTTTCGCTTAACAAGTGTTTTGCATTATGAGTACAATTCTGGAATGATGCTCATTAAAAGAGGTTCCACTGTATAAGGAACACTCAGCTTTGGATGACATTCCTTATACAAGGAAGTTAATGCCAAAAGGGGTAAGACAAAAGATTTAAGTGACTTTGAACGAGAAATGATTATCTGTGCAAGAAGAGCCGGAGCCAGCATCTCTGGAACAATGACTCTCTTAGGATTTTCTCACCCAACAGTATCTCGGGTGTTTAGAGTGGCAATTGAGAAAAAACTTCAAGCAATAAGGACAATTCTGGTCAAAAAAGTCTGGTGAACGAGAGAGGTCAAAGGCAATTAGCATGCATAGTCAACAACAACATGATAAATTACAGCTGAATTCATTGCCGGTGCATCGCAAAGCATATCCCAATGCACAACAAGACAGACTTTGCAAAGGATGGGCTTTGGTAGCAGGAGACCACCAAGAGTGCCTTTGGTATCACAGAAAAATAGAAAAAGGTACTTTTTGTGAGTCTAGGAATGACGAAATTGGTCACTTGAGGACTGGAAAAAAGCTGCCTGGTCCAATGAATATTGTTTCCTGTTTCATCGTGCAGATGGCAGGATCAGAATATGGTGCAAACAGCACAAATTCGTGGACCCCTCCTGACAAATGACAACTCTTCAGGCTGGTGGTGGTGGAATTATGGTGTGGGGAATGTTTTTCTGGACTACACTGGGTCCCTTCATATTTGTGGACACATCTGTGAATAGCACAGCTTACCTCAACACTGTTGCCGATCACGTACACTTGTTTATGGCTGTAATGTTAACTGATGGAGATGTTCACTTTCAGAGGGAAAATGCACCTTGCCACCATGCTTGATCAGTCTCAAATTTGTTTTAAGGAACATCAATCAGAGTTTAACGTGGCCAGCTCAATCCTATGGATCATTTGTGGGATACAGTCAAAAGATCACTTCAAAGTTCACCATCCAATCTGACCCAACTTAGAGCTGCCATTATGTCAGCATGGGCCAACATTTCAATTTCTTTTGATCACTTCACACGCTGTTGAGATAATAACAATTCCACGGCGAGGTCGACCTTTTATTGTAGGCTACTTGTCCTATTACCTCAATGGCGTGTGAAGGGACCGAAAGAAATTGACTCATCTTTTATGTATAGTCTCAAGAAATATAATTTTTTCTGTTAAAAATATTAGTTTCCTTGTCACAAATTTTTCAGGAAAAAATAAAAAAGAATTAATTTTAAAAGTGAATTTATTTTGTTTTTATAACTACATGAAATCAAACTTAATATTTTTAAGTTTAGTTACTTGACAACTGTTCTCTTTCTTTCAAATTATCATCCATCGTAGATATTTCTTGTGCAGGAGGCTTAATATGATCAGGAATTCTTTCAATGGCATGCTGCAAAATAATAGAACAATGACAAGATTAGTTCAAAAATACTTGATATAAATTAATTTGTATAAATTATAAAATTTATATAATTTATAAATAAATATTTGGAGCAATCCAGAATAAAAAGCTAGAAAGAGATTACAAAAATTTTAAACTTGAAATGTAAAACCTGTCCTTGATGATGATCTGAAGTAGACTCTAAATTAATAGCGCCAAATTCAATTATTTCAAATCTAATCAGTGATTTGACTTGATTCTGCAAAGAA